TTATATACCCAGCAAAACCGTCCCTCATATATGATGGTGAAATTATGAGATTTCCAGAGAAGCAAAAATTAAAGGAATTTGTTAAAACCAGGCCAACCTTACAAGAGATACTAAAGGGAGTCCTTTGAACAGAGAACCAATAATAGCAAACAACAACTGACCATTAATACACAGGATGACATAATCCAGAAACCAACACAGCCATGGAAGTATCCAAAGTAAAATAAGTTTATAAGATTGTAAACAGGGAACCAGAGACATCAACTGGCAAGCGAGAATAATTGCAAACCAAAAACAGGGAAAATACTGTGTAGTTACAGAACTTCTAAATGGTGAGGAAGTCAAGAGAGTTGCAAGATAGAATTGACTGTTCTAAACTCAGGGAGAAAATTATAAATCATAGGGTAGCCTCAAAGAAAAATGATAAACCTTCACATCACAATAAAAAAGAGGACAAGCACAAATATTTAGCAAATAGTAAAATAATAGCAAGAAAAGAAATGATAACACAATTCATAAACATAATGAGCTCAGCACAGAAAATTATATGGAACAAAGAAACCAGGAACACCATGAAAAACACATATCAAAATGACAGCAACCAATTCTTACTTGTTGATAGTTACATTGAATGTCAATGGATTAAATGCACCACTCAAGAGACAGAGAGTTGCAGACTGGATAAGAAAACATAACCCATCAATGTGCTGTCTACAAGAGACACACTTTAGAGACAGTGACAAAAATAGACTAAATATCAAAGGTTGGAAAAAGATACATCAAGCAAATGGCAACCAAAAAAGAGCAGGAGTGGAAATACTAATTTCTGATAAAATTGACTTTAAGACAAAATCACCATATGAGACAAGGAAGGAAAATATATAATGATTAAAGGATCAATTGAACAAGAAGATATAACCGTAATAAGTATCTATGGACCCAATGAAAGAGCCCCAAAAGACATAAATCAGACTTTAAAAGAGCTGAAAAGCCAAATAGATGACTCCACAGTCATAATGGTGATGAGACTTTAATACACACTTTCAATGAAAGATAGAACAACTGGAAAGAAACTCAACAAAGACGCAGAAGAGCTAAACAATACAATCCACTAACTTGACTTTATAGACATTTACAGAGCACTTCATCTAACAACAGCACAATATATATTCTTTTCAGTGCACATGGAACATTCTCCATGATAGACCATATGTTAGGCCATAAAGCAAGCCTTAATAAATTTAAAAAATTTCAGTCAGCATAATGTCCTCCAAGTTCATCCACATTATGTGGTGTTTTGCAGATTGTACATTTTTCTTGAGCATTGCATAGTATTCCATTGTGTGTATGTACCATAGTTTGGTTATCCATTCCTCAATTGATGGACACCTAGATTGTTTCCATCTTTTGGCTATTGAATATAGTGCAGCAATGAACATGGGTGTGCATATGTCTGTTCTTGTCATGGCTGTCACTTCTTTAGGATATATACCTAGTAAAGGAATGGCTGGGTCAAATGGTATTTCTAATTCCAACTTTTGAAGGAATCACCATACTGCTTTCCACAATGGTTGTACCATTTGACAGTCCCACCAGCAGAGTACAAAACTCCCAATCTCTCAACATCCTTGCCAGCATTTGTTATTTTCTGTCTTGTTAAACTTTGCTACTAGTGCTGGGGCAAGATGGTATCTCATTGTTGTTTTGATTTGCATCTCTCTAACAGCTAATGATCGTGAGCATTTCTCCATATGTTTGTTGGCCACCTGAATATCCTCTTTGGTGAAGTGTTTATTCATGTCTTCTGCCCATTTTTTAATTGGATTATTTGTCTTTTTGTTGTTGGGGTGTTGCAGTTTTCTATAAATTCTAGAGATAAGTCCCTTGTCTGATATGTCATTGCCAAATATTTT